GTGACAATCTCACATGTGAGGGGAAAGAGTATAAAACCAGGCTAAAACTGAGCTGCCCATACCATACCCTGGCTTACAAAATTGAATTGCACAATAGAAGTAAGCAGGCAGAGAAAGTTATTGATAAGGAGCTTGGTAGAGGGCACACAAATCAGTTAGAGTCTGCCAATAGTGCTCTGATAAAGTTTAGGAAAAAGAATTGGAATATAAAGCGAGTACACTACCAGGCTTCAACCAATCTGGGGTTGCTAGAGTCAAATTTGACTTTTATGCAAAAAAATGGAAGGTACTGGGTACCATTGGTTGCCTGAATTATATGAGAAAATAGGATTCCCTGATTTTGATGGTGTTAGAGCCTATTACAAAATGAAAAACAAGGCAAGAGAAAAGCTGCGTGTGAAACGCCAGACCACGGAGCACCAAAAGAAAGCTTATACTGCCAAACACAGACATCGTGTTACTGAGCAGCAGCAGCGGCAGAAATTCAACCTGCAGCTGAAGCTAGGCCATGACTACAAACCAAATGTAGGCTTTAGTGATGAGCCTCAAATTCCAAGACGATGTGTGTGTGGTGCAACTGATCACGTGAAAACAACACACAGTAGGTGTCCACTCAATCCACGCAATGCACCTAGGCAGGCGTCTAAGTCTCAGTCAGCTGAGATTGATGACAAAGAACATGATTTTGAGCCTGATGATGGTCAGGAATCAGACATTGACAAGCCTCAGATCGAAAAAAGATGTGCATCATGTGGTGCTACTGATCATGCACGGAAATCACACAAGAACTGTCCCAATAATCCACACAATGCACCTAGTACATCTAAAAAGGTGTCTAGTTCTGAGTCAGCTGACCCTGACGAGGAACCAAGTGAATTTGAGGGGTTTGAGTCTGATGATGGTGGGGTGTTTTCCTTATCAGAGTTTATCCCTGACAATGATAGCTCCTCCGATGAGGAGACAGCAGTAGATATTTGTGACTGTGGAAGAGCCCACAAAAGAGATTGCCCGCTGAATCCCAGATATAGGAATGCATACTCTGGCAAACAAAAGAAACAGGGTACAAAAAAAGAACATAGCTCCTTGAGTGATAGGAAAGGGAGTTTTGCCATTGGCACAAAAGGGAAGGGTAGAGCTGCCACGGTTAGGCAGAGTGAAGCTCCCTCTTCCAACCCTCCTAGACGGAAGAGACTCTTTCAGAAGGAGTTAGACTCACATAGCCTAAGTGCCAAACGTGTGTGTTTGCCCCAGAGAACAGTAGATCCTGACAGTGATTGTTTACTTACGGAGTACGAACCTTGTCAAGACATAGTAGATATGAATCCACCTGATAGGGAGTGGAAGGAGGAAACAATGAGGTACTTAGAAAGATGGACTGAGACCTCCCTTGAATACAAAGATGATGGTGCTGTTATAAAAGTTGAAATTGACAACATTGCCCCGCACCAAGTTGATGCAATTGAAGGGGATGGGCACTGCTTTTTTAGAGCCATTTCTAAAGCTGTTACTGGTTCACAAAAATATACTGATTTTAGAAAGGCTGTAGGTGAGTGGATGCTCTGTAAAGACCATCCACCACAACTGGCTCAGTATATTGCTCCATTCGATGCTGTCTCTGAGTCAGATGGCCAGTTGGCTATCCAGAAATACATTGACCAAGCACGCATGTCACTAGATGGGTGGGGTGGAGACAAAGAGATACGTGCCTTTACCACCATGTTCCAGGTTGAGATTTGTGTGTCAAACAACTCCCGTGGAGGGAGAAGGTGGAATTATTACCAACCACTCTTTTATGATGAAAAGAACTGCAGGATGAAGTCAGATTACAAGTTGTACTTGTATCACTCTGATACTGAAACACACTATGACCTTGTCATACCTGGCACACTACATATTTGAGCTTGCATGTGTCATAATAGATTATGACACATTTATTCATCAGTGGCCGGCCTTATTAGGCCAGAGCAGTCTGTTGAGGCCGCCGAGCAGTCTGTTGAGGCTGCCAGACACAGCAGTTTATTTAGAGGCTAAAACATTTTTGGGTGAGCATATTTCCCGGCGTCCACGTCGCCTCACCTGGGAGAGAATAATTATTCAATTCTCTGCTAACGGGGAAATTGATTACTAGAAAGGTGTAATGCTGTTTATTTCTGCAGCATCTCCCTTTCTATCCAGTGGGGCCAGCTGAAGAGTCCTCCCACTATAAACATAATGGACGAAAACCATCTGTGGAGGAAGCCTTCCACCGATGGTTCCTGGCTCCACAACATCATGTTTCTCTGTCTCGTGTGATTGTAACTTCAGTGAGGAACCACACCATATCTCGAAAAGACAATATTATTACAAAACTAGGCAGCTCCTGCCAGGAGCAATGTCCTCTTTCAAGAAGTGTGTGTGATATACAAACTCGGTGACAGTACGTCATTTTCTCTTACCATACGTCTAGCCTAATACTCTGTTACATTGATCAGGGTGTGAAATTGTAGAACCACGTATAATATATACTGCATACCACCAGGCTGTACAGAGAATGTGGCATTTGTTGCTAGCTGTTATGTGCTAGCCTAACAGAACGGTTCGTGGCAAGGGACCGCGGCCCAACACACAACAACTAACCGAACGCTTCACACTCAATCATCTGCACACAGACGGTAGAGACATACACTTATATATGCACAGGAAGTAAACAATTGACTACGTATGTGACATGACCAACAATGAATAATGCAACGATAAAGAGTTCAGGTTACCACACTAGCCTACATTAGAGGAGGAAGTTTCCAGTGTTGGTAGAGCATGGCTGATGCGCCAAAAAGAAAAGCATACTTTTCCACAGTTGCTACTAGCTACATCTATACATCAAGGACAGGAAGCATGACTGGTGACAGAGACAGAGTGACATGCAATAAAGGATGTTGAAGAGGAGTAGGTGGAACCAAAAGGCGGGCATTGCATAGGTGGCCCTTAGTGACAGTACAACAGAGTGTGGGCAGAAAGGATATGAGAGGAACACAGTGGAATAACTCAAAAGTTGAAATCAGACTAACATCTGAGCCAGTTATTCAGTAAGGTGAAGGACTTAGCACACATACATTGAAATGAGGATGTACAGCAGAGGAACATTATAATTAGTGTTTGAGAGAGTTTTCTTCTCTAGACCTACTGTTCGTGTTCCAACCCACATCCTGATCTCCTTTGAAGGGAACACATTGGAATGTGCGACCCGCATCCCTGGGTCGTTGACAGCTTGGGATATCACCGACTACTATGAAGAGACCCAAGGAACTCCGTTGGAATTGTGGAACGGGAATGTGAAGGTGTGTAGTGCAAACGGACAATATCAATGCAAGTTATTCATGATACTCTTTTTTTATGTATAGTTGGAAAGTGACAGGAAAATTGGCCGAATGAAGAATCTGATCCTCAAGCGCCTCAACCCTACGACTCCTTCGAAGGAGGAAGGCGAAGCTCCCCCTCACCATCAATCCTGGATCACGGAGTTGAACTTGAGGCCTGGAAGGAAGAAGAACCCATGGACCACCTTATCTTCATATTATTGTCATTATCTTCATAATTATTGTCTGTCATTGTCATCTTGGTATTACTTACTTGTAAATTATATCTATATACATTGTACAATTATTTCGTTTTAACTCAAACTTAACCATTTGTGCAAGCTCAAATTCACGTTTAAAAGGCTTAACCGATTTAACTACCCTAAGGGGCACCTACAAACAACCCCAGCTCGAAAGGCATCCTTCAATTCGTCGTCCCTATCATAAGGGAGATTTAAATATCCTAGGGGAGGGTAACCCAAATAAAGGAACCATAGGGGTATCTATAATTATCAATCCTTAGGGATAAAACCCTGTATTGAAGAAAGGCCATGGGATCAGGGTTTGCTTTAGTTTTTAGCTCTAATTTTCTGAGGGGTCCATCAGAGTATTCAGGAATTATTCTATTATTATATATATAATTATATAGCCATAATCCTAAGGGAGAAGTTTATTTGATAGGGTAGTAGACCCTTTCAGACTTACATTTTTTGCTGCAATCCTGGGGGATCGTTTAGTCGCGTTGTTTAGTTGCATTCCTTAGAGTAGTTTAGCATTAGATCTCCTGCAAAATGATATAACTATGTAGTGGTGTGATATAATGGTGATGTATATACAATAATTTATTCTAATTTTCTTATCCATCGTCTGTATTTATCTTGAATTTCTATCTTACTCCTATTTTGTAGTACTTTGTGTCTATTAATAACCTCCTGGCATGTCTTGCGTGACGGTATTTGCTGGTTTGGGGTTATTTGTAGTTCCTCCCTCAGGACTCTCTCCTCCTCGGCACTCCACTTGTTCCTCTTCGTGTGTAACTGCTGTTCTGGTAACACGTCCCCTCTCTTTTTGTGGTTTTGTAGGTGGTTCCACATGCGCTTTACCCTCTTCCCACAGCCCGGCATTGGACATGTCGACATCGGACACGGGAGTCGAAACGTACACTCGTCCAGTGGAGTGCCCGGTGGTGTTGGTGGCATCCCTCCTCCTTCCTTGCCTTTCAGCAGGAACGCAGTCAGCTGAGCATCTGAAAATGTAAAACTGTTAGCCATACATGATACGAATAAACTGCATGTCTCATACCTGTGTACTGTCCCTGCGGCTTGTGGACCTGGAACAGATGGTTCCACATCTTTTTGATAATTTTGCTGCACCCAGGGACAGGACATGGCTTCGCGAAGGTAGAGGGGAGGGGAGTGGGTGATGGTTCCTCCAGTCCCAGGTCCTCCATTATGTCGGTGGGGGGTGGTTCTTGCGTGAAGGTGGGGAGGGGAGGGTCTGATGGTTCCTCCGCTGGTTCCTCCAGTCCCAGGTCCTCGGTGGTGGGTGGCATCCCTCCTCCTTCCTTGCTTTTCAGCAGGAATGCGGTCAGCTGAGCATCTGAAAATGTAAAACTGTTAGCCATACACGATACGAATAAACTGCATGTCTCATACCTGTGTACTGTCCCTGCGGCTTGTGGACCTGGAATAGATGGTTCCACATCTTTTTGATCATTGTCCTGCACCCAGGGACAGGACATGGCTTCGCGAAGGTAGAGGGGAGGGGAGTGGGTGTTAGTTCCTCCAGTCCCAGGTCCTCCATTATGTCGGTGGTGGGTGGTTCTTGCGTGAAGGTGGGGAGGGGAGGGTCTGATGGTTCCTCCGCGGGTTCCTCGGTGGTGGGTGGTTCTTCCGCTGCAGTGGGTGATGGCGGGTCTGGAAATAGCTCGTCCAGCTCCGTCATGGCGTCATTCAAGGTAGAGGGGCTGGGGCCCCAGTCGTCTTCCGAGGTGCAGGGTGTAGAGGGGCGGGGGTCCGACGATGAGGTAGAGGGGCTGGGATCCGATTCCGAGGTAGAGGGGCGGGGGTCCGAGTCGTCGTCTTCTGGTAGTTGTCCGAGTCCGAAGTCCTTGATGAAGTCTTCCAATACAAACGTAGCCATTCTCTCTCCTGAGGGTTGATGCGACTATGATTCCGGTCTCCCTTTTTATACACTACGAGCGAGCACTCCGAGTACAGCTACTCACGCTCCTGGTACACTTCCGTCTCTTCAGAGCCTTCTGGTTGCTATGTTGGAAAGAGCTAGCCAACGCCCAGTACTCTCCGAGTACAGCTACTTACGCTCCTGGTACACTTCCAATCTCTTCAGAGCCTTCTGGTTGCTATGTTGGAAAGAGCTAGCCAACGCCCACTACGACGAAGATACTCCCCGAAAGTACTAAAGCCAAGCCTGAGTGGTCCATCATTGACCCTCAGGAGTATGTAGGGCTATCAACCAACAGGATTATTCTATCAAATAATATTATGATAATGTCAAAACTTGGTAAGCGTGCGGTGCTTTTATTTATGCGGAGGCAACGCCCACAACTATACTACTTTGCGAAAGATAGAATATTTCAAAGGTCTAAGTCGCCTAACTGAGGGATAGGGATAGTGAGCCACTTGCGAGGGATAGTGAGCCACTTGCCCAGGGTTCAGAGGGATAGTAAGCTATCCCTGTGGCTAACGCTAGCACTAACCCAGGGTTCGGAGGGATAGTAAGCTATCCCTGTGGCTAACTAACCCAGGGTTCGGAAGGATAGTAAGCTATCCCTGGGGCTAACGCTAGCACTAACCCAGGGTTCGGAAGGATAGTAAGCTATCCCTGAGGCTAACGCTAGCACCTACCCAGGGTTCGGAGGGATAGTAAGCTATCCCTGTGGCTAACTAACCCAGGGTTCGGAAGGATAGTTAGCTATCCCTGAGGCTAACGCTAGCACTAACCCAGGGTTAGAAAGGATAGTTAGCTATCCCTGAGGCTAACGCTAGCACTTACCCAGGGTTCGGGAGGATAGTAAGCTACCCTGAGGGCTTTGGGTATAAAAGAGAGAAGAGTTTGGGGATGATACATCCAAGTGTTTCCTCGGAAATCCAGAGACCTCCAGAGAGTGCATCATCATCGTTCTATATACAGCCGACTTCATCTGGACCTCCAGAGACCTGCGGGGACTGCTCTCCATTGAGACCTCCCTTTCCTGCTGACGTCTGAAGAATCTCCAAAATCACAAGAACCATGTACAAGCACTTGAAGGATATTGCACCTCATCCCATTCCAAGAAGAGAGGCTGCGTAAGTTACGATTCATTGCTTAAACACACATGATATAGTCACTCTTTTCCCTCCTCCAGAAGAGTACACAACCCCCCAGTCCACCTCACAATTGTCTCTCACTGGAATATCGAAAACCGCTGTGTCGCTCACCGTCCAGGCGTTTTAGCAGCAGAAGACGTATGCAAATACTTTGAAAGTATATATGGATGTACATACCGATTGTACAACAGGAACAGGAAGGTTAGTAGTGAAAACTATAATATGGATGCAAGTTGTTCAGGATACTCATGTTTTTATTTGTATAGTTGGCACAAGACAGGCTGGTGGCGGAGATGACGGAGTTGAACTTGAGGCCTGTTGAGAAGGAAGAACAAACTCACCCTGAGGAAGAACAAATTCACCTTTTGGATACAAGGATGACGGAGTTGAACTTGAGGCCTACTCACCCTGAGGAAGAACAAACTCACCATTTGGAGAAACTGAACTTGAGGCCTGTTGAGATAACACCCAGGAAGGAAGAAGAACCCATGGATGCAAAACCCAATAACTAAAACCACCTCATCTTCATACTACATACTACATTTTATTCTATCCTGCCAATTGATAATGTCAAAACTTGGTAAGCGCGTGCAAGCTGTATACTGCGAGGCAACGCCCACAACTGCTATATACTCCCCGAAAGTACTAAAGCCAAGCCTGAGTGGTCCACCATTGACCCTCAGGAATATTCAGGGCTATCAACCAACAGGATTATTCTATCGTATCAATTGATAATGTAACAACTTGTAAGCGTGCGGTGCAAGCGGTAGTTGCATTACGCGCCGAGGCAACGCCCACAACTACTATATACTCCCCGAAAGTACTAAAGCCAAGCCTGAGTGCTCCACCATTGACCCTCAGGAATATTCAGGGCTATCAACCAACAGGATTATTCTATCGTATCAATTGATAATGTAACAACTTGGTAAGCGTGCGGTGCAAGCGGTAGTTGCATTACGCGCCGAGGCAACGCCCACAACTACTATATACTCCCCGAAAGTACTAAAGCCAAGCCTGAGTGCTCCACCATTGACCCTCAGGAATATTCAGGGCTATCAACCAACAGGATTATTCTATCGTATCAATTGATAATGTAACAACTTGGTAAGCGTGCGGTGCAAGCGGTAGTTGCATTACGCGCCGAGGCAACGCCCACAACTACTATATACTCCCCGAAAGTACTAAAGCCAAGCCTGAGTGCTCCACCATTGACCCTCAGGAATATTCAGGGCTATCAACCAACAGGATTATTCTATCGTATCAATTGATAATGCTCAACATCTTGGTAACGCGTGCGTTTTGTGCGAAGCGGTAGTTGCATTACGCGCCGAGCAACGCCCACAAACTACTATATACTCCCGGAAGTAGCAGTACTAAAGCAGCTTGAGAGGTCCACCATTTGACCCTCAGGCAATATTTCAGGGCTATCCTCTTTATTTATCAGGCCAACAGGATTATGCATTCTCTCATACACTGTACATTATTTCTTTTAAAACTCAAACTCAAACTAACCAGCCAGCCTGCCGATAGCTTACCATAAGGACACCTTATTCAACAACCCCAACTTGAAAGGCACCTTAAGCGAATTTTGAATCAAAGTATACTTCAGCCCTTACACCTCGGGGTAGGCTATAAGGTATATAGAGAGAATGAAGAGACTAGGTGTCTGGGGCTAGTAGTAAGTGAATATTTCAAAGTATAATCCCCACTTCGATGAGACTAGGTCTCGGGATAGGGCTATAGGACTATAGATAGGTACCTCGAGGGTAGAGGCCTAGGGATAAGGGATGCGAAAGACTAGGGTTCTAGGGCTTAGTAGATAGGGAAGGAGCTAATATTTCAAAGCTTATAATCCCCCCTCAGGTCTAGTAGGGCTAGGGCGTAGGATAGAGGATAGGTAACCTCCTGGATGGCACCACCTAGGTATATAGGGCGCGTGGGCTAGGGCTAAGGATGTAAGATCTAGGGTCTAGGCGCTAGTGAAGTAGATATCAGGTCTACGGGCTAGGGGATTAGGATAGAGGATAGGTAACCTTAGGGTATATAGGGCCTAGGGCTAGGGATAAGGATGGAGACTAGGGTTCTAGGGCTTAGTGATAGGGAAGTAATATTCAAAGTGTAATCCCCCTCAGGGCTGGGGCTAGGGATAGTTCACAACACATCCTGATCTCCTTTGAAGGGAACACATTGGAATGTGCGACCCGCATCCCTGGGTCGTTGACAGCTTGGGATATCACCGACTACTATGAAGAGACCCAAGGAACTCCGTTGGAATTGTGGAACGGGAATGTGAAGGTGTGTAGTGCAAACGGACAATATCAATGCAAGTTATTCATGATACTCTTTTTATGTATAGTTGGAAAGTGACAGGAAAATTGGCCGAATGAAGAATCTGATCCTGAAGCGCCTCAACCCTACGACTCCTTCGAAGGAGGAAGGCGAAGCTCCCCCTCACCCATCAACCATGCAGTCCTGGATCACGGAGTTGAACTGAGGCCTGGAAGGAAGAAGAACCCATGGACCACCTTATCTTCAATTATTGTCATTATCTTATAATTATTGTCTTGTACATGTCATATAATTGTACAATATTTCGTTTTAACTCAATCTTAACCATTTGTGCAAGCTCAAATTCACCTTTGAAAGGCTCGTCCCTATCATAAGGGAGATTTTAAATATCCTAGGGAGGGTAACCAACCATAGGGGTATCTATAATTATCAATCCTTAGGGATAAAACCCTGCATTGAAGAAAGGCCATGGGATCAGGGTTTGCTTTAGTTTTTAGCTCTAATTTTCTGAGGGGTCCATCAGAGTATTCAGGAATTATTCTATCATAATTATATATATAATTATATAGCCATAATCCTGAGGGAGAAGTTTATTTGATAGGGTAGTAGACCCTTTCAGACTTACATTTTTTGCTGCAATCCTGGGGGATCGTTTAGTCGCGTTGTTTAGTTGCATTCCTTAGAGTAGTTTAGCATTAGATCTCCTGAAAATGATATAAAGGATGAATAATGTAGTGGTGTGAGTGAGTGGTGTGATGTAATGGTGATGTATATACAATAATTTATCCTAATTTTCTTATTAATCGTCTGTATCTTATCTTGAATTTCTATATTCTTACTCCTTTTCTGTAGTAGTACGTGTCATCGGTTCCTGTCGATTATCTCCTGGCAGGTCTCCGTGAGGGAGTGTCTTGTGTGTGGCAGTGTGATTTCCGTGATTTCGATCATCCATCAGATCCGCTCCTCCTCCTGAGTCCACGGGTCCTCTTCGAGTGGAGCTGCTGGGGCAATGTGATCCCCTCTCTTCTGTGTAATTGCATGTGGTTCCACCGCCTTTCACTTGTTTTCACAGCTGCCACGGGACATGCTGTCGTTTCTGGGTCAGGCAGTGGAAAAGCAACACTCTCCAGTGGAGTGCCAGTGATGTCGGTGGACTGCCTGCCGGCTCCGAGGAAAAAATGTCAACTGGGTATCCACCAGAGACTTCGGATATAGCCCTGTCTTAGGTTTAAGAAGAAAGAGAAAGGCCCTGGGAGATCTATCCTGTCCTAGCGACATATACTTGTCCTAGGGGATGCTAAGTGTAATTCACCCTCATGACTAGGGCCATATCATGATTAAGTGCTAATGACCCCGAGGACTAGGGCTAGGGCAAGGGCCATATCATGATCAAGTGCTAATGACCCTCAGGACTAGGGCTAGGGCAAGGGCCATATCATGATCAAGTGCTAATGACCCTCAGGACTAGGCCTAGCCTTAGGGATAAATCCCTGCCTTGAAAAAGGCCCTTGGGGATATATCCCTGTCCTTAGGGTTAAGAAAGAAGCCCTTGGGGATATATCCCTGTCCTTAGGGACATATACTCTGTCCTAGGGGATGCTAAGTGTAATTCACCCTCATGACTAGGGCCATATCATGATTAAGTGTAAGACCCCAGGACTAGGGCTAGGGCAAGGGCCATATCATGAGTAAGTATTAATGACCCTCAGGACTAGGGAACCACCCTAAGGGCATCCATCATAAGGGAAGAACGAGACATCCTTAGGGTGGTTTATTAGTCCTAGGGGACCATATCCCTGTCCTTAGGGTTGATTGGCTAAACAACCCTACAGGTGGATGAGTCCTAGGGGACTTTATCCCTGTCCTTAGGGTGGTTTATTCGTCCTAGGGGACTATATCACTGTCCTTAGGGCTGGTTGGCTAAAACACCCTAAAGGTATGAGTCCTAGGGGACAATATCCCTGTCCTTAGGGTGGACTAGCGGTCCTTAGGGATGTTATGTGGGCGGGGCCTATAAACCCTCCCGTAGGACGTAAGTAACGTCCCTTAGGACGGTATTGTTATCCCTAAGGACCAGGGAATAGCACCCTTAGGATGCAGCAGCATCCCTTAGGGCGAATATCCTTAGGGTCGTTTGCTGTAAACGACCCCGAGGACGCGATGCCAGTGCGCATTAGGGTTGTTAGTGGCCGCGGATTTACCGCGCGTTGCGGGGGGATTTGGGGCTACGCACCTCTTAAGGGATATTAATACGCCATTAGGGTGTATAGCTCGGTAAAATAGGGCTTAAGGGACGATAGGGGACTCTGGGGCAGCGCAGCGACGCTAGGGCTAGGGCTTCAGGGTATTCCGAATGAGTAGCTGTCCTTTATTTTCCCTCACATGCCGTATAAATGTACAAAAGCAATCACCAGGTGTAAGCAGGGTGTTCCGAATGAGTAGCTGTCCTTTATTTTCCCTCACATGCCGTATAAATGTACAAAAGCAAGCACCACGTGTAATCAGGGTATTCCGAATGAGTAGCTGTCCTTTATTTTCCCTCACATGCCGTATAAATGTACTAAAGCAAGCACCTGGTGTAATCAGGGTATTCTGAATGAGTAGCTCTCCTTTATTTTCCCTCACATGCCGTATAAATGTACAAAAGCAAGCACCAGGTGTAATCAGGGTATTCCGAATGAGTAGCTGTCCTTTATTTTCCCTCACATGCCGTATAATTGTACAAAAGCAATCACCAGGTATCAGGGTATTCCTAATGAGTAGCTGTCCTTTATTTTCCCTCACATGCCGTATAAATGTACAAAAGCAATCACCAGGTGTAATCAGGGTATTCCGAATGAGTAGCTCTCCTTTATTTTCCCTCACATGCCGTATAAATGTACAAAAGCAAGCACCAGGTGTAATCAGGGTATTCCGAATGAGTAGATGTCCTTTATTTTCCCTCACATGCCGTATAAATGTACAAAAGCAATCACCAGGTGTAAGCAGGGTATTCCGAATGAGTAGCTGTCCTTTATTTTCCCTCACATGCCGTATAAAAGCAATCACCAGGTGTAATCAGGGTATTCCGAATGAGTAGCTGTCCTTTATTTTCCCTCACATGCCGTATAATGTACAAAAGCAATCACCAGGTGTAATCAGGGTATTCCGAATGAGTAGATGTCCTTTATTTTCCCTCACATGCCGTATAAATGTACAAAAGCAATCACCAGGTGTAAGCAGGGTATTCCGAATGAGTAGATGTCCTTTATTATCCTTCACATGCCGTATAAATGAATACCGTGCGTATTTGCTGCCGCCGCGGTTTACACGTGTGTACGCTACTGGGTTTTGTCCTGTTGGCTGTAGCTGCTTGCTGTGTTGCTTGTGTACCCTGTGTTCACCTTGTTGCTATACTCCCCTGATCATTCTCGCGCTGATCCAGGTTTTTTTTGCCCTGTTTAAGCCGTTTTTTGTCCGCTGTGTTCTAGGAGTTACTACAATAGTGGCTTCTAAATGGGAGTCATATGTATGCCACGTGATTTTGCCTGGAATGCACTAAGCATCCCCCCCTACCTCCACCCACCATGATTTGTCAAGCTGGCTACTGTTGTTTGTGGTCTGTGTCTTTATTATTACCCTCGGCGCGCATGCCTGCGAGGGTACGGTAGTTGGGTCTGTCTGTGTGTGTGTGTGTTACTCTACATCTCACTTCTCGGGTGTTTGTTCGTCTCACAAAGGATACGACCTACTTACATAACAGGCAACGAAGGTCAGAAAATTTTGGGGTTTTCTGTGAAACTTCTCCGTTGCAAAGCTAGAGCGCGAAAAAGCCAATATACACATACACAACCGCTTACTACGGCATGGTCGATCCGCGTGCTCTGCGTACCTCGGAGGCACCAGAAGATGCAACGCAGGGCGGGTATCGCCTCTCGCATGCCATCTAGTAGTGTAGTTAGCCCGCGTGGCCACGTCAGACTCTGCGCGAGCTGGCAAGAGACCGCGAGTAACAGCTAAAACTAAACCCAGCCCACGAATTAGTGGTACGGCGCATGCGTTTACTTACGCGTGCGCGTCACAATGCGCCGAGGGTTTGCACTTCAGTGCTTTTCATTGTCTTGGGAATAAAGAAACCTAAACTTTTTCCCCACCAACACTGCATCTGCTTGCTTTTGCCAGTTCCCAGATCCTAAAGAAACAGTCTGCACAAAGGTGCACAGACATATACACCTCGCACAGTAAATAACATTGCATGAGGATGATAAGCAAATTCCGTCACTCCTCCTCGGCCAAGGCAGTCAGTGATGTGTTTCCTGATGCCGAAATAATGATCTGTGGCGGACATGCTGGGCGTGCCCACAAGAAAATTCTTGAATTACGTCACAAAATGAAAAAAAGTGTCAAAGACGATGATACAAAAGTACAAAGATAGTTTTCCTGCTCTGGGTGAGCTCCGCTGTAAATGTGAGGCGGGCAACCACAGTCCTACATGTGGGTGCATGAATCCACCTTTTATTTCCAAAGCGCACACAAATTTCTCATCTATTTTGATGGAGGCTCAGTCACAGGGGGAATTTGTGAAACGCCTGGAAGCACTCGCTAAACATGCACGTGACATTCACGAGTGGGAGGGAGGAAGTTGTGACTTCCACCCACTTCTGGTCTGCACGTGCAAAAAGTGTAGTGACAAGCAACAAATAGAGTGTGAGGGAAAGCCGTACAAAACCAGAATGAAGCTAGATTGTGAATTTCATGCACTGTTGTATGAGATTGAATGCACAGAGAGAGCTGCAACATTAGAGCCCTCTGTCAATCTTATGTATTTCACATTCTGCAGATTCTACAGAGAAAGTGTCACCTTACAATACACAATCACTTGTTCTAAGCTACGTACTCTCCACTGGAAAACTTCCCATAGTACGTCTTGCCTGGTGACAGTTTATTTCATTCCCTCCCCCTTATTTTACATCGACAGTGTCCTTTGTTTTTGTGTTACATTTTTGTTGAAGTCGTTACTCTGTGATACTCTTAGCATATTCCGCTCTAGTAGTGTTATTCTCACTGATGACATCTGTACGTATAATAATTATGTGCAAACAGATGCTCTGGCGTTTCCTAAGTAGCTCGATATTGTTAATGATCTGGTGAGCGGTGGTTTGTTTTGTTATAGTGTTTCTGTTTTCACTGTTTCTTGCAACTCACTTCCCCCTTTCTCTATCGACTCACTTCCTCCATCCTCATGCACACTGTGCACTTCTAATAAATGCTCACTCAGTCAGTAACCACACATGCTCTACATGATAGATCAAAGGCCTGTGGCAATTTCTGCACTTTACCTTTCTATTCACAGTGTTTTGATGTGATGTTTTATATACACTCTTCAGGTTCCCTCATTTCTATAGAAGCTTCTACTGAACTGGTGGAGAGAAAAAATCATCGCAGCCGTTCCGAATGTACTGGTGGTGTTCTATCATCATAATGATCCGGTGAGCGGTGGTTTGTTTTGTTATAGTTTTCCTGTTTTTCGACAGCCTCCAACTATACATGTGCCATAACAGTTATTTGGGGGTTGCCCCTGTGATGTAGCCCCTACTGACCTTGCCCTGTTATATAGCTCATTGGGCAAAGCACTCGTGCCTAGACTGCAGAGTGTAGTGGCTTTGAATCTCACCCAGGCCAGGGCAGCTCTTTTTTCGGGGTTGTCCTGGTGTTGTTTGCCTTCCTCTGCTGGTAATGTTGTTGACACATGTTCATGGCTACACTAGCACACTACACACCATCTAATCTCACACCCACTGAATCCTTTAGCAACTTACCAAAAAAGTCGGAATGGCTGATCTGATGAGTCCTCCCACTATAAAATATAAAGGACGACAACCATCTCTGGGATGCAAGTTTCCCAGCTTTTTTTACCTGTAGCTACACGTACCTGGTGGTTTTCACATATATACATACACATACCTGTATGTGACTCCTATGCATGCTCTACACGATAGATCGAAGGCCTGTGATAATTCCTGCACTTTACCTTTCTATTCACAGTGTGTTTGTGATGTGATGCACTCTGCAAATCATCGCAGCCGTTCCGAATGTATACTAGTGGTCTTCTTCATCATTGAGCAATGGTAATTTATTGTCTCTGGTTCCATCAACTCACCTTCACCATGCTGAAGCACACTTTACACTTCTAATAAGTGCCCACCCGGCCATTAGCCCACATTCATTACCTTCTTTCGTGGTCGTTATGTTGGCTGTAGTCAATTGTAACTTACCTGTAAGTGACTTGAATGGTTCCCATAGTTTATATGATACAGATTGAAGACCTGTGACAATTTCTTTGCCTTTCTATTCACAGTTTTTTGATGTGATGTTTCATATACACACTCTGCAGGTTCCCTCATTTCTAGAGAAGCTTCTACTGTACTGGTGGAGAGGGAAAAATCATCGCAGCCGTTCCGAATGTACTGGTGGTGTTCTATCATCATAATGATCCAGTGACCATCGGTTATTTTTAACCCTCGGCGCGCATGTGCAGCGAGGGTTACGGTAGTTGGGTCTGTCTGTCTGTCTGTCCGTTACTCTACATCTCACCTCTCGAATGTCTGTTCGTCTCACAAACGATACCACCTGCTTAACGGGCAACGAAGGTCAGAAAATATGTGGGGTTTTCTCTGAAAATGCTCCGTTGCAAAGCTAGAGCGCTTCCAGCATTGTATGGCTAATGCCGGTAGTCGCCATTTTAGCGCTGGCGGATAATGCGCATGCGCTTATATTTAGCACAGGCTTACCTCGACGGGGTCCGCTTGCTCTGTCTATCTTGAAGGCACAAGAAGTCACAACGAATGGCGTGTATCGACTCTGTAGCTAGCCCATATCAGACTCTCTGCGAGCTACTTCGCCGAAGGGTTGCACTTTAGTGCTTTTCATTTGTTATTGTATTTCTATTGTTTCTTTCTCTATCAACTCACCTTCACCGTGGTGATGCACACTGTACACTTCTAATAAGTGCTCACCAAGCCAGTATCGCACATTACCTTCTTTCGTGGTGATTTTTTCATATTGTTGGCAGTAGGCAATTGTAACATACATACATGTATGTGACTTTTATATGTTCCTATGCATGCTCTACATGATAGATCGACGGCCTGTGATAATTTCTGCACTTTACCTTTCTATTCTCAGTGTGTTTGTTGATGTGATGTTTCATATACACTCTGCAAATCATCGCTGTACTAGTCGTCTTCTTCATCATTGAACAGTGGTTTGTTTTTTTTAGTTGTCTCTGTTTCCATCAACTCACCTTCACCATGCTGAAGCACACTTTACACTTCTAATAAGTGCCCACCCGGCCATTAGCCCACATTCATTACCTTCTTTCGTGGTGATTTTCCCTCATTATGTTGGCTGTAGTCAATTGTAACTTACCTGAATGGTTCCCATGCACAGTTTATATGAAGGCCTGTGACAATTTCGTATTCACAGTGTTTTGATGTGATGTTTCATATACACTCTGCAGGTTCCCTCATTTCTAGAGAAGCTTCTACTGTACTGGTGGAGAGAAAAAATATCTATCATCATAATGAACCGGTGAGCGTCGGTTATTTTTGTTATTGCATTTCTATTGTTTATTTCTCTATCGACTCACCTTCACCATGCTGATGCACACTGTACACTTCTAATAAGTGCTCACCCAGCCAGTGTCCCACATTATCTTCTTTCGTGGTGATTTTTTTCCTTTTGGCACACGACAATCGGGGACGAACGAGGCGCCAGCACGACAGTGGCTATGGCTACGCGCGATGCAGCCCGTGGCGGCTTAAAAAGCGCGCGAAGTTCGAAGCCAGTCAGCAAGCGTATAGCGATTGCATCGCCCGGTCGCGGTTTCTCGCGGGAGCAGTTGGACAAGAGCATCTTGATCATCCAGTGGGGAGGATGGAAACGGACCGAGAACACGGGCCGCCCGGCACTCTTGGGCCAGGTACTCGGAGACGACCTCCGGATGCTCGTATATACGCTGAGCGCATATTCCGGCGGCACGACCGTGGGGCTGATCCCGTCTGGAGGTCGAAACAGATGCGGAAACCATGGCTTATCCCCAGGGACCTGTACAGGAAGCTCGGAGCTCTCGGCAGATAGCCGGATAACGACACCACTGAAAGCGGACGAATGGGCAGAGGCGTTAGAGGGCCATCCTGATCGCCGTTTTTGCGACTACATTCTCCAGGGGATAAGCCATGATTTCCGCATCTGTTTCGACCTCCAGACGGGATCAGCCCCACGGTCGTGCCGCCGGAATATGCACTCGGCGTATATACGAGCATCCGGAGGTCGTCTCCGAGTACCTGGCCCAAGAGTGCATATAAAGGACGACAACCATCTCTGGGATGCATGGTTCCCAGTTTTATTTTACCTGTAGCTATACCTTTCAACTGCAGGAGTGATGCCACCACCATGAATATTGTCTTTGTCACCCTCTCTGAGAAGTGTTTGGGTGAGCCTTAACACTCTATATAGGACTATTTCACTCACTAACAATGATCACCACATGCAGACATTTACCCACAGTATTTTTAACATTGTACAGATGAAAATAATGTCAGAATAATGGTGAATAGGGACAACCTCCGAAGAAAGGACAAAGAACGTGTTCCCAAGGTGTCCTTTGTTCGGAGGTTCGACTGTATATATACACTTGGCCTGGTATATAGTGCTGTGGCACTCATACATTGTTGTGCTGGTGTGTAATTTGAGTGGAGAATTATACCATTGTGCATAGCATGTGACTGGTAGATGAATGATAGAGAGAAAGAAGAAAGATCAAAGTTCAAAACTCAAGACGGGAGCTGGTCTTTCCATACCCTCTATATAGTTCTGGCTCAGTGTGTAGTGCACTGGACTTCATGTCAAGTTCATTCTTTTGGTTTTAACAGGATGGGATTACGCAAAATGTAAATCCTTTTGTGGTGAGCCACCTTGTCGTCTGGATATGTATGTACATTTGTGACCCACACTCTAACATTTTATGTATGTATAACAGCCATAATACACACGTTGACACCCTAACTTTCACACAAAGTATGACTCACTCTCTGGCCCAAATTCTCTCAGGTGGTATAACTACATAATAGTTAGACGCTGATTCGAGGTAACTACGCGAAGTAGAAAGCCGAGAGCCCCGGAATTGTGGCGCCCCGAGCGCAGCGAGGGCGCTACCCCCGGGGCACGAGGCTTTCTACCGGCGCGTGGTTACCGAGGAATCAGCGTCTAACTATTTTAGAGTGAGCGCTTCATGTTGAGCGCTCTGGCTTTCCTGTTCGTTCGTATGGTGGAGCGCTTCTAACGATAACTCGATGAAAACAGGCTCAGAGCGCCAGAAAATGCAGTGCAAGAAGAGGTAGCGAAGTGGCCGCGGTAGCGACTCCGCCTTCTTTTTCTGGTTGTGCGCGCTCGACGGTCTGCGCGCAGGGGGGTCTGCGCGTGCGCCTGGACGACGCGTCAATGTAGATTCAGTTGTTGATCTTGCTGTTTACATGTACATTTTGTTATGTTTTCCTGTTTTATCTGTAGGTTTTGTAGTTTCTGTAGGTTTACTACATGTAGTAAACCCCGTCGAGGTTTACTACGGGAAATAGTAAACCTCGGCTTTGCAATCTGATTGGTCAATTCGAACCTAGCTCACTCTAAACCCTTTTGGTGACAGACAAGGTGACCCTCTAATCGTAACTAATTTCAGGTCTTTTGCATTGTCCTACTCTACCTCGTCCTACTATATATGCACAACTAGACACCGTAGCTCTCGACGACACACACACGTCGTGCACAAACTCTCTCTTGTCCTAGCTCACTCTCTTTTCTCTTTACCACTTAGCACACGGGCACACTGCAGATGTGGAAGTATTAGTACACACATGCTGTATTGTCTGTATTCCCACCACTACTGGCCGACGAGGGAGCAGTGACAGCTCTCCGAGAAAGAAGCAGCATGGGTGCCACTATCCCAACTGCTCCAAGGTGTACAGAAAGACATCCCACCTTCTGCTGTCACACGGGAGAGCTGCCATTCATCTGCCACTGCTGCAGGGTAGTATTGTCTTTGTGTGCTTGACACATCACGCTCTTCTCCTCCTATTATATCTCTAAAAGAATATTCTCAGCAGGTTGTTCCCTATGACTGGAATGTGACACATAGCACCTCTGCATAATAGCTATTAATTTGGTGTATGCTGCCATATGGACCACTGCATACCAATCTCTGTGTCTTACACCTATAGGTATTTATACCTTCAGGAATTTGAGTATGCGCAGCAATTCTTTTACTAATGAAGCGGGGTCAGCTGAGGAGTCCTCCCGCTATATAAATAATGGACGAAAACCATCTCTCAGAGATAGTTCCTGGCTTTCCCCACTCAGTTCTGCATACACCCTCTAGTTGCAGCTCACTGAGGGTGCGTTCCCTTCATCCCTCCCCAAAGGCAGATTGGTATGTCATTTGTATATTAATATTATTATGCACACTGGAGTAATGAATGAAGCAAAGGATGGACATCCCACCCAGGACTACAGAAATAGGTGGGCTCGAATCCCAAACTCTGCTGTGCCTCATGGTGCATGTTTCCTTAGTCTGTACATTGTGTGATGTATGATGCTCATAATAGAACGATTGTGTTTGTCCCATTCATTTACAGGCCTCTCCTACAACTAGAAACTTGGCACAGTATATCACTACCCGATGAAGTTGGAGAAATTGCTATGGCCATTCAAGCACTGGTACAGGAATACCCCACACAATAATCATCAGTTAGTCTGTGGCCTCTCCCCTCCTGCCTGCAGGTGTGGCACCTCTCTTCCCTGATTTAGGAGTTCTTCCCTTGTATGCCAGTGTCTAAAGTCTGAGCTTGCTGCTTTTGACAACGTAATGTGTTATACATTTTTGCAAGAACTTTGACGGAAGGACAAGTGTTTTGACTATAGCTGGAGATTGCACTGAAAAAAATAGTTTTATAAAGTATTTGTACTTTTAGCAAGATTTTGGGCAGAAGCACCGGTCAAAGGGAAATGTACATAAGAGTCTGAAACATTGAATGTGTGGGGAGTTGGCTAGCCATGAACCCACCGTCCCCAGTTCTCAAGGCTGGGCATCCATGTCCTGCTCTTTGTGTTTGTATGAGTGAGACTGTGTAATTACAATGTGATAGGCAAGCGCAAAACACTGAAGCAGAAATAGGTATATACCCATGTAATTTTGACCACTGAGCTGCCACGTGTAGTGAAGTTGACAAAAGTCTCCCAGCCTCTGGTCTTATTGTGTTTGTGTTTGGTCACTTTCCTTTCTCCCCCTTTCCCTCCCTTTCTCCTCGATCACCCCCAACAAACACATGCACGCACGCACACACACACACACAAATTAACAGCATGGGAAAATTTGACTTTAGTAGACATAACATCCACAACAAGCTTTCCTATATCCGTGACCGAAAGAAGAAAGAAAGAGGTGAACAATAGAGAAGACCAAAGAAACGAAGCAAGTCACAGATAGCAGTTGAAGAGCTCTTTGCTAATAGTCATCAGGGAAGTTGCAACTTTATAAGGGTCTGTGCATAGCCTAGCAGTCGTGCGTACATCGCTATTATTGCCAGATGTGCAAGTTGCATGTAACGATAGACCATGTGATGCCAAGAGAAAAAAGATGCGGAGCTCTGGACAGCTGTTTCGGGCTTGTTAGCCTTCATCAGCATGCACGAGGTAAGCATGTACCTTGAGCCTCCATTGTTTGTGCCCCAGTTTCTGCCTAACACTGTAGTAAAGCCAGCCCATGCACCACTGTGTAAAAACCCCTTGTACTTTACATGTCAGTGTATATTGTTAGGTGTGAAAACTTAATATATAGCTACCACAAAACCAGCAGTCAGAGAGATGACTTACATGAAATTATGGTTCATTACACAACTTACATACACAACTTACATACACAACTATATATGTGGTTTGAGTGGGATGTAATACACAACTATGTGGTTTGAGTGGGACGTAATACACAACTATGTGGTTTGAGTGGGACGTAATACACAACTATGTGGTTTGAGTGGGACGTAATACACAACTATGTGGTTTGAGTGGGACGTAATACACAACTATGTGGTTTGAGTGGGACGTAATACACAACTATGTGGTTTGAGTGGGACGTAATACACAACTATGTGGTTTGAGTGGGACGTAATACACAACTATGTGGTTTGAGTGGGACGTAATACACAACTATGTGGTTTGAGTGGGATGTAATACACAACTATGTGGTTTGAGTGGGACGTAATACACAACTATGTGGTTTGAGTGGGATGTAATACAAGGTGTGGAGTCAGAACTACTACAGCAGAGTCAGAGGTGACTTACATACACAACTGTGTGGTTTGAGTGGGATGTGTGGAGTCAGAATTCACGCCTTCTCTTTAGTGGTGATGCACACAGTGAACAAAAAACCGGCACTGCCACGCGAGCCTCGAGTACTTCCACCTTCAATTTCAAGACTTCTAACTCCCTCACGAAGTCGAACATCACACCAGAATCTGGGGTTATGGAAACTGGTTCCTTCATGAGGGTTTTAGCTTCCTGGATGATGCCATCCTTCAAGCCCTGGCCAACCAAGCCCTCCAGCTCATTGGGTGTAAGTGCCACGCGCTTTACTGAGAATTGCTGAAGCAGACACATCCCCACACAAACACCACGACAGATAGACGTGTCCTCGCGCCACTTCAACACCGGTGAGAACAGAACAATTGGTAGCAACAGACCATCATTGAGGCAGAAGGGTGCAAAGGCTACCCTCAAGTGGTGTTCGTCAATCAGGAAGCCAATGCATATTATGTTGGAAGCAATGTACTCTCCTTTCGAACCAAGTGTACACATGTACTGCGCGAGTTGCGCCATATCCTTCGTTACCATCGCTTTCTTCGCCTCCACCGGTATGCAGTAGATCGGCTTCTCTTTGACGGCTTTGCTCCAGGGGAATGCAGCCGATCTTCTGTTTTGGTCTCGATGTTCAGAAGAGACGAAAATGTTGAGCCACCCTCACTGCTGTCTGGAGCAGCGACAGTTGAAATGCTGTGCGCAACATTACGCAGTAATGGGTTATAAGCTCGCACCGCACATCCGCTTCACTTCTCACATAGCCTGACCGGATCATCAGGCCGGCTGAGATACGATGATCACGCTGTGGAAAAAGGTTGTCCAGAAGGACGCATTATGGAGCAGTGGGTTGTGTGGATCCGAAAAGAGCTGCTCAAACTGCTTCCCGGATCGCACCAAGGACAGCGTCCGCTGGACCTGGCAACGCACTACCGGGGACCACGTCGTACCACTGCGACGACGGAGGAGGTCTCCCACGCACACGTGAACGCCGAGGTGTCGTAGGACAAGGAATATACCTCCTCGGAAAACTGAGCGCATGCCGCACGTGCACCCGCAGTACGTATACACCACGTGCATGTGCAGAAAAATCGTATTGCGCACGCGCGACCTAGTATCAGGGCCTGGCGCTACCCAACTGTAACGATGACCACTCAGTACCACTGCTTTCCAACAGTGCTATATAGCTACAAGTAGACGTGGTGAGAAGTGTAGTCAAGCACCAATCCACCCCCCACGTTGTGTGACCCCCATAATGGTAGGTGGTTTCACACAGGCGTGTATTTGGATGACTGTAGTCGGTGAGTTTTGAGTTGTTAGAAGAATCTTTAGCATAGGAATTTTCAGTTGTAAGTCACACATTGTTTTCTAAAAATTCACAGAATTAAAATCTACTCAAAATCTTCCTTTAACAGGTATATACACCTTTATTACAAAAAAGTTAAAGAAAAATTGTAATGAGGATGAGCTCAAAAATTATAAAAAGAGGAATTTTGAAACAAACAATGATTAATGAGTTTAGGGGGTAGTTGTCATGGAACCTATTCCAAACTTAAAAAATGGTAGGTCACATTTAATAATAAGATTGTTCAATGTCGGAAAACTCATCATTCCATATCACATTCTCTTTTTATTCGCCGTTTTATTAAAATAAAAATTATTTGTACAGACCTATTATTATTATTGTTGTTATTGTTTCAAACACTAGTATATAGGAGCAAGAAAGAGAGAGTGATTACTGATTAATGATGGAGATTTTATGATCCTCAGAAGGAGAGTGAATACCATGAAGATGCCTGTAAAACATTTAATAGTGCTGGAGACATTGTGCATCATAGTCACTGTAAAATGATATAAAAAGACGAGTCACACGCATGCGCGTCGAATGTCGTTCTTTTCTGAAAAAATTGCCATCCAGTCTCCCTCAAACCAGACCCTTGAGCCCTTCAGGGCCTTGTTTGCATAACTACATGCATGGACTACCACCGAAAACCGCTCACTGCACCCTCGAGCGGCATACTTTCTCATCTTTCAAGTAGCTGACAGACTTTGTTGTTGAACTGCGAATTTAGGGCGTCGTGCTATTCAAAAACGCGTTGTGATGCATGCGATTGCGATGGCGGAAAAAGTTTCAAAGAAGTGAGCAGCTCTCAGTGTAACTGTATAGCTATAATAACCCTCTAAACTAGCTATACAGGTTCCGATTCACACTGCCTGACGGGAAGTACGCCGCTTCCTCGCACGTAGCTATAGCTATCAACATCGTGTCACAGCCGCGAGAACTCTCGGATTCCCACCACACCACACCAGTTTGGTTGAGTCGGTGACTATGTGAGTTTGTAATAAAAAAAAGGGTGGAAAACCCAGATTAATGTAGTGTTAGGAATGTGTTACTGTATTAGCTATAGCTACAACAGATTTTTTTTTAGAAACAAAAGAATTCCACAAACCCGGCCCTCACCTTCCCGGGCATCTTTTCACTGGCCCAGTCAGTGGCAGCCATGCTACATCCCAGAATGGGTGGAGAAACCGAACAATGTGTGAGTCATTCCATAGCGAGTCCCCTCAAGTGATTACAAAAGAAAATCGTCTGTAAGTTAGCTTTTTGGTTCACACAAGCAGTTCTTTTCTTATATAATTATATAATATAGTGCAGAAAGATCTGGCCGATTATGTGTGTTAAGCTTTTGAGATGGTGGTTGCATTTGGTGCTTTTCCAGTGTTCCAAAAACCCGACTATGGTTTTTGGAGAAGGAGAGAGCGGGAGAAGGAGGACAAAAGAAGGAGAGAACGGGAGGAGGAAATGAGGAGGCAATGAGGAGGCACCGGCATATATTTTTGCGGTGTTTCAAACTGTGACTATAGTCTACATTTACATTACTACATAATTACCCATCGGCGCGCATGCGCGGCGAGGGTTACTGTTGGGTTGGTGTATCTGTGTATCTGTTACTCTCAATCTCACTTCTCGAGTGTTTGTTCGTCTAACAAAGGATACGATCTACTTAACGGGCAATGAAGGTCAGCAAATTAGTGGGGTTTTCTCTGAAAATGCTCCGTTGCAAAGCTAGAGCGCTTCCCGCATTGTATGGCTAATGCATTATTTTAGCACGAGTCCGCTTGCTCTGTCTATCTTGAAGGCACAAGAAGTCACAACGAATGGCGTGTATCGACTCTCGCGTGCTATCTACTACTGCAGCTAACCCGTGTCAGATTCTCTGCGAGCTACTCACGGGAGACCAGGAGTAAACGCATACTATACTAATAGCCCAGCCCATCAATTTTAGGGGTAGCTATATACCGCACATGCGCAGTTCGCCGAGGGTTTGCACTTCCCATTAACCCTTGGCGCGCTTGCGCAGCGAGGGTTACTGTAGTTGGTTTTGTCTGTGTGTCTGTGTGTCTGTTACTCTCAATCTCACTTCTCGGGTGTTCGTTCCTCTCACAAAGGATACGACCTACTTAACGGGCAATGAAGGTCAGATATTTTGAACGGTTTTCTCCGAAAATGCTTCGTTGCAAAGCTAGAGCTCTTCCAGCATTATATGGCAAATGCCGACTCGCCATTTTATCGCTGGCTGTTAATGCGCATGCGCTTATATTTAGGACAGGTTTATATACCTCGACCGGGT